TTGTCTGCTTGTATAAAATGAAGAGCAAAGGACCTAAACATGAAACTTGCGGTATCTCAGTAATGCAAATCAACTGTTATCAACATTACTCCATTTCCTGTAACAAATTGTCTGCGTCCTGTAGGGTATATATGGAAGAAATACTTTTGAGAAAAATCCTTTGTACCAAAGGTTGAATTGATTCAACTAAAAAAACCTTTGAATGAAGTCTAACATTACAAGTAACACCACTTGCTGTTATTAATTAATACTGCTTAGTATCATCCATCATTCTTTGTGGTTGTGTTCCATGCAGTGTTGGTTGACTTCATTAAATGCAGCTCGTTGCATAAGTTTAGAGACAAGAGAGGTCGATCGAAGCATCCGAAAAAATAGGGGGTCACCGAACTCGTTTCAGATATAAACTTGATTAAACTCTATTTGTAGCCAATTTAAAACGCCTCTGTTGCTATAAAAACGGTTGAAAAGGAATTCCTAAAAGAAAACCCAAAATCTTTGAGACAAGGCAATATCACAAATTAAACACCCCATAATTTCAAAATGACTTAAAAAAGCATTTTCTCAATTCAAATGTAGGGTATGATCTATTTTTGAACTAACTACATAGCTCCTCGAGATGTTTCTCAAAATCCTCCTTATATGTGAGCAAATTTTCTTGAGTTGCCAACCTTGACTATATACTATAGATCTTTTAATGTGTCAGATGTGATGACTCATAGTGTAGACATTGATGGCAGTCAGTGGGCTTACAAAAAAGACTTGTTCCGAACTGACCATCATCAATTTCCATTGTTACATCAAGAAAATTTACCGTGGTCTGTGAGTATACTCATAGGTAAATTTCATGCTGGAATGGAATTCATTAAAACTGTTCATAAACATTAATAGTTTATCCTCACCTGATAACCAAACAAAAAAATAAATTATTTACAGTACCTCTTTTTGTTCCAAAAATTCCTTTTCTATCATGTCCATAAAGATATACATGCATACGGCGGGGTCGTATAAAAGTAGAAGCTTGATATATTTAGTTTACTTGATGAAGATATTAAAGTCGAAACGTTGGTAATGATTTTGTGATTGACTTATAAATGGTTTTTTGCCAGGTGATTGCCTTATACATCAAATATAACTTGAATTGCTGCATGCGAATTTATTCACTACTTAGCATGCAGAGAAGATACCAATCAAATTGAGGCATATGTAGGACATATACCGAGGGAAAGTTTAAAACACGTTTTAACAGCCATACTAGTTCCTTCAAGTTAAGCAAATATAAGCATGCGACTAAACTGAGCAAGTACATATGGCACTTGAAGGAGTCAACGGTTAAATATTCGTTAACTTGGTAAGTAATTAAGCAATGCAAGAGTTACTCCAACAAAACGATCGAAGCGTTGCAATCTTTGCCTGTACATGCATATGAAAAATTCATAATAATTTATCACCCTTAATTATAAGCATTTATTACAAATTCCTATATAGACCTAACCTTCTATAATACGTTGATGTCACCCTGCATGTATTTATGGAGTTGCAACACAGGTATAATAATATAGGCAAAAATGTGCTCTGTGTTTACCGTAATTACCCTCGATGGGCATATTCAAACCTAAGAATGTGAATTTCTCCCTTTCCCTCACCATCTCACTCATTACGAGTGCTTAGGCCTTGGGACCCTTGTGTGTCTTTGTTCCATTCTCCTTTTAAATCGCCACCTAGGATCCAAAAGGCCTATATAGGCACTCGTGATTAGAGCATGAGCTGGCGAGGGAAAGGGGCAAATTTATATACTTAGGCTGCGTTGAGACTGAGTGCCCGGTACTGGTGCCCGTCGCCTTTTCTGGCGCCTAAGTTGAATACGACGCTTCCAAATGAATTTGAGCACGGTGCCCAAGAACGGGCACTACCTCCAGACGTAGTACTCAACAAGGGCACTGTGCTCAGCACGTTTTATGAACCAGTTTTTACTTTGGGCACCGGTGCCGGGCACTCAGTCTGAACGCATCCCTTATAGGTTTGAATATGCCCGTCAAGGACATATATATATATAGAGAGAGAGAGGTTTAAAGGGTCCTAATTTCGAGTGGAATTATACACACTGTAAATTCAAGCCAGGAACAGTTGATGGAAAAAATTAGTCAACTATAAGTCCTCTGGCAGGAATCGAACCTACGCTTCTGCGATACCAGTGCAATTAATTCCGCTCGAAATTAGGACAAAAGTGAAGTGCCAAAAATCATAATCGATTTACCCTCACCTTTTCCCGGCATTACCATCCTATACACATTAACGACGCTTGCTCTTGTCAGCTAACTCTGTAGCTCAGTGGCAAGAGCATTGCACTGGCATCGCAAAACCGTATGTTCGATTCCTGCTGGAGGACCTATAGTTGACTCATTTTCCCATAAACTGTTCCTGGCTTGAATTTTAAGTGTGTATAATTCCACTCGAAATTGCCATGTGATTCATCGCATGTTACATAAAAGCTCTATAATTGAAACAGCATGACCTGTATCTGTCTTTAGATCCGACTCCAACACTAAGAAGGTTTTTAAACAAATGTGATGAACAAGGTATGTTTAATGAACTGGGTGAAAATTACAATCCATTTGACATAGTACGTTCTGTACCTATACCACTATACTTATATATATATATATATATATATATATATATATATATAATTATATATATATATATATATAAGGATGCCATTAACGTTTCTTAAAATATATTTCAGAGAGAATTAAGGCCCAAGTCAAATTTCCGACTGATTCGTCAAAAAAATTTACGACTGGTTGCCCAAAAAAGGAATACAGGTACTCGTAAGGCCTACCCTGGTAATGTCGTTTCAAAGGCTACCCCCACTCCATCTGCAATACGTCACAATACCATTGCTCAGTCCATTCCAAACCGAGATTTTGCATATGATGTGGTAACGCCAACTAAAACTTGGGAATCTTGTTCCGTTGCAAAAAGATCAAAAAAGGTGAGACGGAAAAAAGAAAAATTGAACACCAGATGCTTTATCACAATAAGAGGCTGTAGAAAGTCACAGTAAATTGAGTTAAATGCGAACTTACACTAAAGTGTAGGGAATTAATGTAATCTAATCTCTTTTGATAACTTTGGGCAATTGATGAAACTAGTATTGTCTCGTTTCTATTGATCTCACATGCTGCTATACCACTATTTAAATTTTAGGACTTTATCACTGTAACGAAACAGCCACATGAAAAAAAGTATAGAGCTTATTAAGCTTAAGAATGTCATTAATAAACATTTGTGCAAAGTATTCGTGTGTAAACTTGTATTTATACTTATATATATTATGCAAAAATAGAGCGTCTACAGGCCTGTCACGTACAGTCGTCGAACTGCAAAGGCATTCGAACATGCTGGACAAGGTATTAACAGTACATTAGTTCTTCAATCTTCATTAGAAATACTAAATAGCTTTTCAGCTATATATATATATATATATATATATATATATATATATATATATATATATATATATATCACATTATCAAGTCTATTGCTGAATTTCATTGGTTGTAATATAAACTTCGTTTACACTACACTCAACTTATTGGCACGCCATGGCTAAAATGGGTACCCGTGCCCATTTTATTCGCGTGCCGTCCTTTGTATTGGTAGCCTGAGCACTAATAAAATAGCGCACTGGTACCAATTTTAGCCGTGCCGTGCTAGTATTTCTATTGTTGACTGTAACCGGGAATGTAGAGTCAAAAGTGTGTTGGAGCGTAGATTCCTATAAGTGCTTTTTACAAAAGAGAAACTGCTGCCAAAAGGGTAGGGTGGTCATTGTTGTAAATAATGAAGGTTTCTTAGAATAATGTAAAACTAATACTTTAGTATATCGAACACATTGAAATACATGTCAGAGTTATTGATTTGATGAAGAGTGATCAACTTTAGCTACACATGTTGTGCTTCATATAGGTGCCAATGACCAACCATTTCCGTGTAAAGTTCCGGGATGCGGCCAGGTTTGTACCGAACCCGACACCATTTCATCACAATATATATGGCAGCATCCTTTCGAAAAGATGAGGTCATTCGAAAACTAAACTCTTTTCATAGACATTCAGGAACAATGATCGTCTAATGTTACATCGTCAAACTCATTCATTGAGATTAAAAATAGGCGCCAGGAAAGGCGAAGACAGTATTCCCGGTAAGATGACGTTGCTGCTTTATTTTAATATTCAAAGTAAAGGCACATCTACTCGATATTTTAACATTTAGAAAGAGATAAATTTTATATCTAAATTTACTAAAGAGCGCTAAATGAATTGCATATAACCTATACAGTACAAGCTAGTCAAATGCATGCAATGCTTAAAGAATTATATAGAACTAATACTTCAGAACGCAGTGAAATATATTGATTTGAAATAGAAGAGTAACAACTTAATTCAACTAGACCTGTTGTGCTTGATAAGTGTGTAAAAAAGATTTTGGATTAGCAAATATACATCCAATTTTTCCCCGGCTTGTTAACCACAAAATGAACATATATTCACTTGCTTCATAAGTAGCCCAACAAATAATAAAATAAAAATCTGAAATTTAATTCAAGAGCATCCCTGCTCCTCTTTCATGTAAGTGTACTTGGCAACATTTACTTCAGTAATTCGTTTTCGTTTCAAAAACTCTACAAATTGTAATTTGGCCAGGTATATAAACCAAGAAATTTGATTCTTGTTTTGTGAACTTTTTATTCACAAATTCACACCACATTATTCATGTACATGCAAGTGCATTAATAAACGTCTTTAGATCAAACTCCAACACCAACAAGATTTTTAAGCAACTGTGATGAAGAAGGATTGTTTGATAAACTGGGTGAAAATGACAACCTATTTGATAGTTCTGTACCTACCACTACAGGATTACCAGAATACATAATTATATCTTTTTAGCGCAGAACATGCATTAAGCATCAATAACTTTTTTTGATTTTAGGAATTTATTACAGTAACAAAACAACCACATGGAAAGAAGTTAGAGGTTAAGCTTAAAAATTTCATCAATAAAGATATGTGCAAAGCAATGCATGTATTCGTGTGTAAAGTTGTATTGATACTGATATAATGTTTAAAAAATAGAGCATCGAAAGTGCTGTCGTCTACAAAGACCTGTCACGTACAGTCGTCAAACGTCGTCAGTCGCAAAGGCATTCGAACAAGCTAAACAAGGTAACAGTACAATAAAATAGTCTTCTTCATTAGATATACTAACTAGCTTTTTCGCGTGTGTAGCAAAATGTGTAGATCTTTAGGTAGTGCGCTATCACGTTTTTAAGTTTTTTGCTGAATTTAGGTAGTGCAGTGTCTGCCTACGTTGTAATATAGAGTCAAGAGTGGGTGGGAGCGTAGATTCCTAAATGGTTATGTTATAAATCTCTAATAAGAGCCCCTGCCTAGGGGGTGGTCACTATAATGTGAAGGATGCCATTAAGGTTTCTTAAAATATATTTCAGAAAGAAAGGTCCAAGCCAAAATATTTACGACTGGTTGCCCAAAAAAGGAATACAGGTACTCGTAAGGCCTACTCTGGTAATATCGTTTCAAAGGCTACCCCCACTCCATCTGCAATTCGTCACAATACCATTGCTCAGTCCATTGCAAACAGAGATTTTGCATATGATGTGGTAACGCCAAATAAAGCGTGGGAGTCTTGTTCCGTTGCAAAAAGATCAAAAAAGGTGAGACGGAAAAAAGAAAAATTGAGCGCAAGATTTATTAAGAGCATGCTTTATCACAATAAGAGGCTGTAGAAAGTCACAGTAAATTCAGTTAAATGCGAACTTACACTAGAGTGTAGGGAATTAAAGTAATTTAATCTCTTTTGATAAATTTGGCCTATTGATGAAATTAGTATTATCTCGTTTCTGCTGATCTCACATGCTGCTTTAATCTTTATGCATGTGGCTGTGATGACTTTAATATAAATGACCGTCGCTAGCTGAGCGTTTGGTTTACATGTTAATATCAATATACTTACAATGCAAAACGTTTGTTTTGACGTAAAGGTGGATTTAACGTATCGGTTGCTCTTATTTAGCTATATAGTAATATTCAAAGTTGTCAAGAACTAATTATTTTATACATGACGTTGATATAAGGAAAACCAAGAAAAACAAAGCAACAAAAATCTCGGGATAAGCTCAAGGGAGATTTTGAAGTCCATTAAACATTGCGAGAAATTCCAGATTTTGAAGGATATGGATGTGGGAAAGCTAAAGAAGGTAGATAATTTTTGTCTGACAACATGTGTATTTTTAACTCCGAAAATGTTAACATTTCATGAATATCATGTGATTATATTCAACCCATGTTTGAAAAACGTATCTCGCCAAAACGTTAATATTACTGGATATTCGGCAAAGACTAGAATGACCATTGCCTGAGATTTCCTGCAAGGTTTCTTTGACAAAAATTGTTTTGGAAAATCATTTTGAGTTTTTGAAAGCACACTACATTTTAAAAAATTTTTTTACACTACCGTTATTTTGCTTTTGTTTTAATTTTTTTCTTACGGCTACCTTATTTCCCAAATATATATAATTCGAACTTTGTGCTGAAGTATCAAACGAAAATTCCACCTAATGCATGGTTACAGCCCCAGAAAGTATAAAATGGGTGAAATTTATGTAAAACTGTATATTGAGAAACCTTTGCCATTATTGAGAAATCCTGCCTAGAGAATTCGTCTTTGGTACATGAGGAAGGTTGCCTGTTTTAACTTTTCACCTCTGTTTGCAGATTGGACCACAGCTACAATATTTTGCTACACAGAAGAATTTATTGCTTGGTCATGGTTCATTTGGTACGTCTGTTTACGTCGGGATCTTACAAGATGGTAGCCAAGTTGCCGTAAAAAGGGTATTGCGTGAAGCTGCCGATGAGAATGAAGTTGCTGTCTTGAGACGGATAGACACAACGAGATCGCCATATATTCTGAGCTACCACCATATTCTCGAAGACGAAAACTTCATGTATTTAATACTGGATCTTTGTGAAGAAACATTGAAAGAATACGTAGAATCACACAATATTCTTCACCTGCGAGAAGAAGGTCCGAGGATGATCAAGGAGATCTTACTTGGTGTTAAATTCCTTCATGACCAAGGAATCTTGCACAGAGATCTGAAGCCATCAAATATATTGGTTGATCTAAAAGGTCAGATGAAATTAGCAGACTTCGGAATCAGCCGTGTTTTGAACGAAGATGAAACAACAGTTAAAACTTTTGCGAAAGGAACACAGGGCTGGATGGCTGCCGAAGTTATACAAGCGGGTAATGAAAAAAGAATGGGACGTTATAAGAAAAAATCTGATATCCAATCGATTGGTATGATAGCCTTTTTCATTTTAACTGGCGGTAGACATCCTTTCGGAGCTACTCTGCAAGACCGTATGACGAATATCTCAAAGGGAAATCCAGTTAATTTAGACGCACTTGATGATTATGGTGACGCCAAACGGTTTGTGACATTGTTGATAAGTCATGATATTGATAGTCGACCTCATGCGCGTGAAGCGTTGGAGCATCCTTTTTTGCAAGGCATATAAAAAGGCTTAGGAATTTTGATATAATTTTATTCATTATTGTAGCCATATAAGCATAGATGATTGCCATGTGGCTATGGAAAATCCATCTCTCAAACTTTTTATGACCTAAATTTGTAACTGATACGTAACATACACAGTAACATGATACACTATAACACATTTGAAACTGAACGCACGTGCACAGGTTGGAGCCATAATTTAAACACTTTTTTGAAAATGTTTTTCGAAATGATACAAGAAGTGAATCTTTGTTTTTGACATTCAATTAATTGCTATTAACCCCTTTCACTTCCATTAATTTAAATTACATCATATATAGGCTTGAAATTACAGGGCATGCATGGTAAGGTCCAGAAATACCGAATCAAGATATTTTGTGCGATTTAAAAAGATACGACACGCTCCGAGAGGGGAATGTTTGAGATGCTGTCACTGGTTACGTCACGGGACGCGAATTGAGGTTTCCGAGTGGAAATAGAAAACCAGCAACATTCCCCACTTTTTCTTGATGACCTTTCAATAAGCAATACATAGCTCGACCTTTAACAATAAAAAAAATTCAACATCAACGATGCCACATGCGAAATGCGATATTTTAATACGATTGTTTACCATGCAGCATCGAACAAGATTTTTCTCAGAGGTGAAAAACTCGGTATAACACTCATGTTCATATAATAAATGGATATGGCAAGGTAATTTGGCATGAACGAATGTTTTTAATTTTTTTAAAATGGAAGATGCATGGATATTATCATCAAGAGGGATGAAAGATTAACAACAAGTTTAACGTTTCTACTGATGAGACGTCACGCATTTCTACTACTAATTCCACAAGATGCTTTATTTATCATTTATATTTTCTGAATATTTTTAACTGCAAATTTTAGTCAGAAATTAGAAGCTGCATCATGAGTTACTCAAAATAACAGAGGAAAAGCACATAAGATACTTCCATAATAAAAAGGGTGTATCAGAAAAAACTAGATTTTAAAATGCCCAGAAAACTATCATTTAATCAAAATATCTCAAAAACAACTCCGCGATGTTTGATCTAAGGGCCTTGGTCGGGTGAGCTACTCGGAAAGGACTCGGTTCTAACTTGGAAACTTGAGCTTCAAGTTTCTAGTTCCGGGTATAGCAACTACAATAAGATCCTTGGTGTATACAGTATAGTTATTCAATCGTTGGTGTATACAGTATAGTTAGTCCACCAAAAATATTTGGCTTATTTCAGCCGGTGAATTATCATTTGACGAGATTATACTTTCATTTGATGAGATTATACTTTCATTTGATTTGCTGTAATCAACTAGAAATGTCATTATATCGACATTACTAAAATACTTTATTTCGGGATATGGATTGGTTTGTAAGCTTTGTATGTGCAAGACGTCGCATTTGGTGAGTAATTGAATTGGTATAATAGTGCAAATTATCACTATGCGAAGGCATGCTCTAAGAAGCTCCTGTCGTGCGATAAATCATTTGAAACAAAATTTTCTTAATTTGAATTGAATTAATGAGCTCTTTACAGTCTATCTATGCTTAGTCTTAGACCAGCTGATCGCGTCTGTGTACCAACAAGGGCAGACTTATCTTCACAGAAAGATAAGCTGGTAGTAAATTCTCGTTTTTACACGCTATTATTACGCTTCTTCGACAAAGCGTATAAGCTTATATCTGACCTTTCCCAGTTACAAAGAAAACCACAGCCCCAGTTGTGATTTCAACATCCGGTCCGTCATTGAACACAAAGTCAGATGTTACTCATACGTTTATTAAATGGATACAAATTTATAAGAAACTGCGAAATTTATAAGAAATTACTATCACGTTTTCACCAAGAGGTCTGTCGCCGCCGAATGTTAATCTCGCGTTAAATGCTATTCTCAGTTAACAACCATTGCCTCGTGTAATGCTTTCAGGGACAAGTTTGGAAGTTTTATATGATCAATCGCGACATACATATTACAAATGAGCCGGGCGGTAGTGTTTGGTACTCTTTGTAATTTGAATACATTATTATAGCAGGTGTCGCAAACAACAGACTGTTGCAATAATCTAAGACTGAGCAGCTTGTTATGAAAACATTGAGTCTTTATGCTATTATATTGATTTTTTGTCCAGAACTTTTCTTCGTTCATATATATAGATGATAAAATATACGGCTTTGCACACGTGTAAGTTACTATAGTAAGTTACCTTTCAAACCAACAGCCCAGAGTACAAGCCTAACTAAGAGGTGTTCATTTACCGTTACCGACTCAGAAGGTTTCAGATCGTCATTATCTCATTCTGCATTGCTGTAACTGCAGCGCTGTGATTCATGGCGTCTTCAAGTTTAAATACGAGGTATAGAGTTGCAGTGTAAATATATGCAAATGGCATATACATATGAGAAATTGGAAAGATGACTTTCAAGTGGTATCAAATTGTCTGCATGCATGCTTGTATAAAATGAAGAGAAAATCATCTGCACATGAAGCTTGCGGTATCCCGTAATGCAAATCTACAGTTTTCGACATTACGGCATTTTTGTAATAAATTGGTAGGGTTTGGTAGGGTTTAAAAACCCGCAACTTCCGCTCTAAATGATTGAAAAGCTAAATCTAAACTTTTGTCACTATTTATAACGCGGTTCTTTTATGTAGGAATCATGAGGTTTTTTCATTCTTTGGCATACACCATGAAGTAGCATCACAATGGCAGTGAAACCTTTCTCAAAAGAAGAATTGAATTTCTTCAAATTTGCATCCATCGTTCACGATGAATTTCCAAAGATGTTGCGTTCGACATTTGTAACATTGTGGGATAGGAAGATTGCGCCGTTGCCTGGTTACCAAGTTTGGGACGACTCACCCGCAGTTCGCACGCTTCTTTTGACTCTCGAAGGTGGTACAACTCCCATACCAACCAATGATTCGTTCGAGGATTGGGATTGTACAGCCCTGTTCAAGGCAACTATTTATTCTAAGACTTTTGCAATCTCTACGACAACGACCATCAAGACACTCAGTGATAAGTTTTTAAGGGGGAAGAAACCCAGTCCTTTTCATGCTTCGCTTATCAGTCCAACTGGTAACCAGGATGAAACTATAACTTTAGCTATCGACCAAGTTCGACTGCTTAGAAACACGTTTTGTCACTTGCCTAAGCTTGGTATGACAAAACCTGTCTTTGATGACTATGTTCAACTTGTTAACGATGCTTTTACTGCTGTGGGATTCTTAACAGATCAAATTGATTATATTAGTTGCCTAAAGCAGTCAGACTTTCCAACTGAAAGAGTTGATGAGTTGAAGAGAGAAATTAGATCAATTGAGTTGGAGCACCGCAAATTTCTTGAGGAAAAACTGATGACAACAATGAATGAAAGGTGGGAAATCCAGATGTTCTTTAATGAATATTTTTCACAAAATCTTGAAGAAATTAGGAACCGTGTCATCGATAACCAGACTACTGAAACAGGTAATTATACGCTAAGAATAGATTGATTTATATCGTTGCTATAACTGCTGCTTCCCAAATCCCGATGATACGTTTCTTCAGTTAATAACAGCTAGAGATTATCAAATATTCAAAAGGAAAATTAGTGATTGAAATTAAACTTTTCCGATTGTGGGCAACATTAAGATCGCCTATTCAATTCCCAACGGTGAAAGAATGCGTTTTTCGACTGGCAATTCAGTTTTAACACACAGTTATTTTCATTGTTATGTCTTGCCATTATGGCGTAAAAAGCTATAGCTAGAAAACTTAGAAAGCTAAATACCCCCTCTTGCTATGTTAAAAATAAAATCGGTGGACTATATATTTAATGAATTACGTCACGTTAAAGTCATGTTTTTTAGGCACTCTGTACATTAGAAAGCTTCAGATTGGACAATGTCTCTCGCTATATATATATTTGCAAGTAAGCTGAAATTTTCGATGGAACGAGATTTTTCGCCAGATTTTCTTTCCTATTGTGAGAATTCGACCGCGTAGCGGATTCAATTGACCAGTAGAAAACAATATCATTCCGCATAGTCAAATACAACCTTAATATCGTGGCAGGTATAACCGCTTGTCTGCCATAGGTATACTCGCAGTAGTGAGGTAGATAGATCCTTTACAATTAGTAGTATCAAGTAATGGAAATGGTGAATGTACATAATGTAATAATTTTATTAGGATAGTAATTTGATATTTAACTTTAATACGATTGTTTAGGAGGGCCACTGGTTTGTCAGCACAATCTAGCTGCTGTGTTTTAGCCTCGCGAAATAAAGTTAGCCTCATGAAATAAATTTCTTTTTCTGTAGAATGTTCAACAATTGTGCAGGAAAATCGTGAATTCGCAGCACTCGGTTCTCATCATCCCGAGCTGAGCAGCGATGGAGGTGTTATCGTATTCCGTATAACGGCTGAAATGGCGCGAAAAGATAAAGATAAGGTTTTAGATACTGTTTCTCTTGTTGAAATTTTATATTCATGTGAACAAATTAAACCGTCAGTTTTCCATGAGGCCCTCGAAAAAGGCTTTGGCGATAAGACGGACCAAAAATTTGGAGTGGTCAAACCAACATGCCTCCTTGTCCCACTGTACTGTCTCTCAGATGAAAGGTTTCTTGAGGTTTTGGATGACTTTGAATCTGGAAGGCTAAAACAACGTTTGCTGGAAGAATTTTCACAGTTTCGAGATGAAATAAAAATTATGGAAATTGAGTTAATGAAAATGGAAGAAGTAAACAAAACGAAGGATGATATAAAAAGAAAGTATGTATAATTTATGGTATTTGCTTCACACTTCTGTTCATTTAATGTCATTAACTAGTACAATAGTCATACTATAACAGCTCTCATTTGGATTTGTTACCATATAGAGATGCTTTAAAACAATTCTAAAGGTAGTTTTAAAAATTGAATATCCGTCAAAGACCAAGCCAAACGTAAATCTGTTGCCTTCATGTGTTTGAAAATGCTCGTATACAAGTTCGCCGAAAAGTCATGCAATAGCAAGAACCATGCATGCATAATACGTCTTCCGAAGAAATTTTATTCATAAACCGCCGGATTTTCTTAAATACAAATCTAACAGCCGCAGCGCAAGCTGTGTTCGAAACGACGACGATTTTGCTTACGTCACGAAGCGTTTTAAGGTTCGAAGAAACAAATTCAGGGATATATTTTACAGGCAACAATTTAATAGTCTTGACCAAGTAACAACCTTACTCTTCGAGAATCATTAAAGTTGTCGATTATAGCTGTCGTAAACTGAAATAACGAATATATAAAAACTAAGTTCATGCATTCCTGAATTATACAGATTAATGAACTATACAGAGTATGAATACATATTGCATGCACTAGAAATTCCCTAAACCGCTCAATTTTGTCATGCACTTACTATGGCTAACACATAAAGGATAAACTGCTAACTAACTAGCTAAATAACAATCGAAAAAGATAAACTTACATAACAGTCCCGCTTTGTCGAGGCGAACGATGCACAAACCGAGATGTTCGCCAGTTGGATGAGTTGCGAAAACTTGTTCGAAACTTTTATTACAAGTTTTCTCGACGAATGCACATAACCAACTGATCGAAAAACAAGATTGTGCAAACCGTTACCTGTCCCAAATCGGAACTAGTTACCGCATCATAACTAACCGCTAATTAACAAAAAAGTTCCTGCTATTGTTCAGTCGAGCTGAAAGCCGCTACAACAAACTTGTACTCTGTTAAGGCTCTTTTCTCACTCATTGAAGCAACCAACTCGCATTAAACCATTTAGAAGCAAGCACTTGGACAAGCTTGCCACTTAATTACGTTTCGCAATGAGTGGAAAAGAGCCTTTTGCATGACAACAATATTCCAGAGAAGATTATGAAGCCAACGCAATGCAAGATCAAATTTCACTGAAAAAATATGTATCAAGAGATAAGTATATATATTTAGTATAGTTACTATGCTTGAAATGTTTGGAAAAGTCTCTTATGTTTCCCGGGCAGTTCTGTGTGTCAGTGACATTAACTGGTTGTCCTATTTTGCTGCCCATTTTTGTACACTAGACGTTTAGTGATAGTTAAACGTAGTTTGACAAGTCAAGACGATGATTGTGGAAAGACTATAGTCCCTGATGCAGTATAGAATCGTTCAAGTATAACCTCAGGAGGTCGTACAACTGTAATTCCAAAATTAGCTGAGATTGTTTTGGTATGTGAAAATGATGGGTAACTTTTATTCTCTAGATTGCAGGAATCGATTCCATCTCGGAATTTGGAAGCAATGGGCGATGAAGAATTTGCTAAAAAGGTTAATAAAAAGGTAGTATGAAACGATCGTGCCCTTGTATTTAGTTAAACTTGAGACTAAGCTCCATTTCAATACACTCCTCCGCAAGAATTTTCGTACGAGGAAATGTCACTTTTTCTTCACTGCTTCTACGACTGGTATTTACAGTACCGTTGTACTTAATTTTAAAGCATGTTGTAACATCAAGTACCAACTTCACACCAGTCTCAACTTATCAACTTACAAACTTCGACCTGCCAACCTTAAAAAAATTCCCAATCTAGCGTCTGATTGGTTTGGGCATTTATTACACTTCCTCATTTACTACGTCGTTATTGGCGAAAAACAGTGGCGCACCAAGCAGGGGGGTGTCGGGAATGATACTCCCCCTATTTTTCCAAAATAGTCCATAAATTGATGTTGATTTTGATAATTGTCAGTTTTTAAAGGCCCTGTCACACTGTTGCGTATGATAGGAACGTATAAGTCGCGTATAAAGATCATTTCATTCATTTTTATACGCACGAAAAAGTCCGTAAAAATAGGACATTTTGCATAAAATTAACTTATTAAACGTATGAGTATCGTATGAGTAGCCTGTCGCTTGCGTATGCCAGCGTATGAATAGCTTACGAGAAGCGTTTGGAATGCGCATGTCAAATTATATACGATCAAAGTCTGTGAAACGCCAGTATTTTCACACGGCTCCATTCGAGAAAATGTCAAACCTACAGTGAAAAAAGAAGAAGACACCATGGCAAATAAGAAGACATCATCTACCCGCGGACGAAGAAAAGGAAAGAGGACTCCATCATCAGCCGTTGCCAAAGCTGACGAACAACGTGTTTGTGCACCTGCAGATGTACTTATTCCTGAGACATCTTTAAATAATGCGCGACATGTTCCTGAGCTCTCAAAGTCCCCAACACAACCTTCCCAAAACTCCCATAATTCATCGGCTTTATCATCTGAAACCAATGATGACTTCACCTCCTTCCGGCGGGCTGATAGCAAGGAGAAAAATAAGCAGAAGAGGGCGAAGAAAAACCCCTACAACCTCAGCGCCACAGAAGAGGAGCTGATGCTGGAGTTTATCATGGACAATCCTGTGCTGTGGAATGTGAAGATGACAGATTATAGGCGGAAAGACAAGAAAGAGAAGATCTGGGAAGAGCAAGCACATCAGATGAACAAGACTGTTGACATCCTCAAGGGCTGGTTCAGATCGTTGCGCGACACCCATACGCGCCTTGACAAGAAGAAAAGCGGGGATATTGTGCTCCAAACCTGACTGAGAGAGAACAGTGGATCCTCTCAAAGTTTGCCTTCCTGAAGACTGTCACTCGCCACCGACCGGAGCCCATGCAGAGTGTAAGTAGACAGCCATATTACCTTAGCAGCATGATGACCAAGTAATTTGAGACAATTTCCACATGATATTTTTTGTCTTTCTAGGTGAAGGAAACCGTCCAGCTTCACAGAGGAGATCTTAATGCTGCCAAAGCGCCTGCGCTGATATGCAGGATGTCTTAGATAAAGTCACTCCAATACCATCATCTACCGCTGGAAGGTCCCACAAGCGACCTCAGGACACAGAGAGTGACGTCCTTGAGACTCTACAGAAGAGAGTTGCTGAGTCTGGCACCATCCTCAAAGACATCTACAAAGCCAAACAACAGCCAATTACAGCACGAAGTGTCTTTGCAAATTATGTTAAAGAGAGCCTTTTGACTATGTCCAAGTCCAAGTACAAGGAGGCAAGGTCCTCCATCAATAGGTTATTGTCTGAACTCATGGATGAGGACAGCGATGATGAATTTCCAAGTTAACCAACAAGGGATCCCTTCTCAACCACCCCACGATTTGCACCCCACTACAAGTATTCCCTTCTGTTCATTTAGAGCATCAGCACCATCCTTCTCTGAGCATTATCAAAAACCTAGCAACATGCCTATAAACATGCCTCTTGCATCGTTGGTGAGAGGCTCTCAGCCCATGGAGTACATGCAGCAGTTTCACCAGCGGTTATTTCAGTATCCACATCATCACAAGACTACCACTAAACAACAGCAGATGATTCCTCCTTCCCAACAACTTGCTCAGCAACCGTTTCAGGAAACTCAGCAACAATGCACTCCTACCTCTGGCCCGGTTCGTGCCTCTTTGGCTTCTGCAACAGAGTTAATAACGGAAACGTCTAGCCCAACGCCGCACAGTCCAAGCTCAGCTTTTGAGCAAAGTCACCCGAACATTACTAGTCTTTCAGGATTTCGAGACATCATGGAATCTACTGATGATATTGGATTTCAGGATGAGGTTCTCAACCTTCGACCACCAACGTGAAAGAAGTATTGACTATTTTGTTACTGTAGTAACTCTTACGATAATCGACATGTCAAAATTAAATTTTCATTTTTTGTTTCTCATAATTTCATAATACACACTGCATTTACACCCTTGTCTAAAGGACAACATTGTATATATTCTAAAATCTTGCAGTATTAATGTTGGAGTGACTATATAATTAACATGTGTTTCGACATCTACAAAAAGTTTTGTTGTGGTTTAGTTTCGTTTACAATAATTTGATCTAAATCATTCTGTCTTGCCATGGAACTGCACCTGCCTCTGAGTTGACCCAGTGCTTCAGCAGATTCCTTAGCCCCTTTCCTTTGTTGGTGGATGTGTTTCTCCCAACAACTGTATGTGTGTCGAGCAAATTTCTGTCTTGTCTCCATGATCCAGGAATGAAGTTGTTGTTCATGTTCTCTGCATGGTCTAGATGCTGGTTCTGTAATTCAGGGTAGCGTATCCTCATGAGATTGTGCAGGACAATACAAGCTTTAACGATGAGCTTCAATGTAGCAGGGTGATGCTGCATTGTAGTTAACAGAACCTGGAAACGATTCGTCAGGATGCCGAAAGCGTTTTCGACTACTCTTCTGGCGCGGGAAATCCTGTAGTTAAATATCCTCTCTTCATGGTGTAGACCACGGCGGCTGTATGGCTTCATCATTGTCTCTCGGAGGGCAAAGGCGTCGTCACCTACAAAGAAGTAGGGGACACTCTGATAGTCATTTGGTAAAGCATCGGGGACGGGAATCCTATAGTTCCGTCTTCTGTTAATTCTTTGATTTCACAGTTGTTGTAGATCTGTGCGTCCGATGATGACCCTTTACCACCGAGGTCTGCCCAGATGAATTTATAATCTTCGTCTACAAAGCCCATGAGTACAACAGAGTAGAATCTCTTGTAGTTGAAATATTGGGATCCACTTTTTGGTGCACACTTGCAGGCAATGTGCTTTCCATCTATAGCACCACATGTATGGGGGAAGTTCCACCTCTTGAGGAACTTATCAGATATGGCACGCCATCCCTCTGGCGTGGTAGGGAAGGTCATTACTTCGGACATGTATTCATGATGATGGCTTGACAAACCTCTCTGACAATAAGTGACTGGGTGTTGTGGGGGACCCTCCATCCGTACTTCATGGCTGAATACGTGCTCCCAGAGGCAAGGTGTCGCAAAGACAAAGAGAGCTTCAGCCCAGGCTCCAGGGGTCGCCTATACCAGGTATGTTTCTTGGTGATCCTGGGACTAACTCTTGCCAGAAGCTCGTCAAACATCTCGGGGACCATCCGCATAAAATTCTTGAAACATCGCGTATCCTCGCTTCGGAGTTCCACCAGAAGTTGGTCGTAAAAGCCAAACTGCCTTCACCTTCCGATCCCATGATCTCATCCATACCTCACGTCTTTTTCTTTTTCTTTTTCTCCTTTTCCTTCTGTTATTTTCTATGTGACGAATCGTCAAAGCTATGAGATCAAACTGGCATTCAAGAACAGCTTACTCCATCCTTTATCCTCGAAGGTACAAGATGATATGAAGGCATCCAACATTAATATATATTATGCACAATAAATGACATGCTATAATATTTATATACCCTTTCTCGTAACGTTTGCAATACGCTGAGGATACGACGATCAGACGTTAACTATACGCTAATTGTACGGTAAATGCGTTACTTAATCGTCAGTCATACGCTAAGCCCTCTATAGACGTTAAACATACGTCACACATAAGTTAGACCTTCGTTACTGATGCGCTATCAACACGTTAGTTGCACGGCACACTTACTCATTTCCGTGTGATTAGCGTACTCAACCTATTAGTACAGTACATTTAGCGTCCTTCTGCCGTATTCAGCGTATGACTAGCTTATCTTTACCGTATAAACCATACGTCCAAACACGCACAAGATTTTTAAGCATGCTTAAAAAAAAATTTCTTCCTCAGCGTATACCAGCGTATGTGACCGTGCTTGGAACGTGTATAACTTACGCACGACGTACCACCAGCATATTTCAGCGTATTCCGGCGTATGCGTCATATTTATCATACGCTGCCATACGCTAATGTGATACGCAACAGTGTGACAGGGCCTTAAACAAAGGCAGTGGGTAATTTTTGAATTAACAGCATCAAGCATCGTACGAAAGCAATGAACGACAGCTGGTAAATGATTCCCATCTCACGATCTTCACGTCGCGTTTCTTAAGTCCAGCTGTATTAACAAGAACCCATCTACATATACAAAACTAGTGCTCGTTTCATAAGTGAAATGTGCGAATTGTTTGTGGACTTCGTCAGTAAATCCTGGGCGATACCACTCTCCCACCCCCACCAAATTGGAAAGAAATTGGTACGCCGCTGGCGACAAAAAATTGTAGTTGTTCTTATGCTGCTGCTTATTTTATTTGACTCATCTTGCCTTCGTTTTTTAACTCGAAAAGTATGATCTTTTGTATTGAAACTTCAGCTTTTTATTAGGGTTTTTTTCGCTGATGTCAATGGTAAAAATACTGACGACAGAGTGGCAGTGCTGCACACTGCTGTTATTGAACGTGCAGTAGATATCGTGAAGTACCTTGTTGAACATGGAGCTGATGTAAATAGCAAGAACTTTGCCGGAATGACAGTGCTGCACACTGCTGCTATTGAAGGTGCGCAAGAAATGGTGGAATACCTTGTAAAACATGGAGCTGATGTCAATGGCAAAAGCACTGACGAAATGACCGTACTGCACACTGCTGTCATAAAAGGTACGCCAGAAATGGTAAAATGTCTTGTAAAAAACGGAGCTGATGTGAATGGCAAAAACACTGACGGAGTGACAGTGCTGCACGATGCAGTTATTAAAGGTACGCTAGAAATGGTGAAATATCTTGTTGAACGTGGAGCTGATGTAAATGGAATGAATATTTACGGATGGACAGTCTTGCACGTTGCTGTCGATACTCGTACGTTAGAAATTGTCAAGTACTTAGTTGAACAGGGTGCTTACATTACTCCTAAAAGTGAAATCGGCTCTCACACTCTTGGCATTGACATCCTGAAGATGGCTATATTAGAAAACTCAGTTGTTTTGGTCAATCTTCTGTTGGATAAGAACATTGTCGTATCGAGAAATAAAAAATTTTCTTTTGGGGGAAGACAAATGAGTCTTCCTGAATGGTGTATTTACCTTGGTCATGAGGAAATTGCAACTATCCTCAAAAAGTCCGTAAAACACCGTGGCAAAATTCAACTCTTGAAAACAATGAATTGCAACCAGTTAGAGAAGGTAATACAAAAAAAATACGAGCAGGGACGCCAGAACAATACGAGGGCAAAGTGGGGCAGATTCTGTAGCGGCGCATACTAGAGAATGTTTGCAAAACAACGTCTGTTAATATCGTCTGTCGTTTTATCGTGTTATTCCTTTCAAGATTATTTCAGTGTCTAGCAGTTTCTCGATTGCCCTGTTCCTTAAGCTTCTTGGTTGCACTTCCACAGTTCTACTTGAGATAAAAGTGTTATCGTTTAAAATTAAAGCTAGGGTATCTTTGCCCCCCTTGCCCCTGCGGGTGAAAGGCCTCCTGTTCCGACGTCCCAGCATACGAGATGTTTTGATGAGTTTTTCGCGATGGGATTTTTCGCGGGAAGCGAATTTATTTTTTTGTTTTTTGTGTTCAAGCAATTTGTTCCCGATGGTTGCAGTTGACAGCCCTAAAACAAATGTAAAATTTCACTAGTGGAAAACCGGTCTTGGGTCAGCATCGGAAATACCGCTAAAATATCATAATTATTTAAGCTAAAATATGAGATTTAGAAAGGTTGTTTTGATTTTTTCCCTCATTTGCAAATTAAAACGTTAATGTTTTTTCATTTCTACTAACCATAGATAAATTTATAGTATTTCTACCATTGATCCCATTGATCCCATTGATCGATTGAATTGTGAAT